CATATGAGAATTCATTCTGGTGAGAAACCATATAGTTGCACATTGTGTGAGAAAAGTTTTGCACAAGGAAGCGGATTAACAGTACATATGAGAACTCATTCAGAAGAAAAACCAAGCAAGTGTGACCAGTGTGGGAAACATTTCAAGTGTATGTCTTACTTAAAAAGACACCTTAAAGTTCATTTTGGTGAAAAATCACAAGGCAGATTGTTAATGACTGGTAAGACTGAATCTGATTTGGATTGTGCCAACACAGCAAATACAACCATCATACAGAATGCTGATATTGATGAAGTCTTTCCAAATGCAAGACAAATCAAATCTGAGCATATTAAAATTGAAACAATTGATCCAGGGTATGACCAGGTGAGACATAAGGTTAAGTCAAAGTTTGGTGATGTTGACAAAATAACAGGTGTGAAGTCTGAACTTCGTGATGGCTTATCAGATTTCATTGAGTTTACAATAAATTCTTAGACTGAACTGTGTAAAGTGGATGACGGAAAGAGATTTAAAAGGGATTTATTAACTAGACACTGGGTCATTGTGATTTTCCAGAAATTATCACACTAATCAAGAAAGTGTTTGTGTAGACTCATTCCAAATAGAGCAGCACCAGCAGGATAACTCAAATATGAATAAGCATGGTTCTTTGGATTGTGGAAAGCGTTTTAAAAGCCATTCTAACTTTAATATCCACCACAGAACACATTCAAGTGAAAATATGCAGTTGTAATGAATGTGGGAAGACCTTTGCAAATCGGACCCATTTGGCAAGACACAAAGAGACCCATTTAATGGACAAAACATACATTTGTGACCAGTGTGGAAAAGGATTTACAACCAAATTCTACTTAAAGAAACACCAAAGAGTTCACTCAGGTGAAAAGCCCCACATTTGTTCTGTGTGTGGACAGAGGTTTACTGTAGCTTATTCCTTAAAAGTTCACATGAGTTTCCATTCAGGTGAAAAACCATATTAGTGCGCTGAGCGTAACATGGTTTTATACCTGAGCAACTTTTAAAAAACACCTGTTAAAGCATTCTGGAGAAAGGTCAAATATCTGTCGCAAATGTAGAAAGAGTTTTAAGGATGCAACCTTATATTTGTACTGAATGTGGTAAGAGTTTTACTCGAGCAATTCACCTAACAGTGCACAAACGGATTCATTCTGGTGAAAAACCGTTCACTTGTACAGTATGAGGAAAGAAATTTTCTGACATTAGTAACTTAAAAAGACGTGAAAAAAATGTTTTACCGATGTGTTTTAGAAGACATCTTAAAGTGAATTCGGGGAAAAGACCTCATGGTTGCACTGTGTATGGAAAGAAATTTTCCGACACTAGTAGTTTAAAAAAACAAGAAAGAATCCATTCAATGGACAAAGGTGATGTAGTAAAAACAGAGATTTTAGGCTTTAACTCTTAAAGAAAAGAAAATGAAAACATGCATCGTACATACTGTTATGTAAACAGGGACTAGAAATTTGTGAAACTTAAATTTATATTTCAAATATTTTTGGCTGCTTCATTCAGAATGTTTTTCTGTGTAAGTGACATGCACTAGCTTTTTGTAAACAGTGATCACCTCTTCCACAGATGAAGATAGAATTAGAATTATTAAATTTTCACAAAGGATAATCATGAACTTGTAACTGTTTAATTTGTTAATCTATCAATAAATACTTATTTTACCTATATACATATTACGATATTGTCATACTTTTCTTCTTTTTTTAAGTTTATAAGTCTTTATATTTTCATAAAGAACCTAAATGCTTTTCTGTTTGTTGCTGGTTTTGCATGGATTTTGTCTGTATCATACATCTAATGATGACTGGCATGTATTTCATTAAGCATTCATACCACTTGAGCACACGCATTAAGCATCACCCAGTGGGTCCCTTTCAACTGTTTTCTTTTGCTTGCAGTCTTACAGAAAACCAGTACAGTTAGGGGACGAAAATTATAGGCATTTTACCGATTATTTCACGAAGAAGGGAGATTTCACTTTTACTTTTTACTCGGTACAGTTCTATAATTTACGTTTGATATTATTGCCACTGGGAGGAGGCCCCGGGAAGACCCAGGGCACGCTGGAGAGACTATGTCTCTCGGCTGGCTTTGGAACGCCTCGGGATTCCCCCGGAGGAGCTGGAGGAAGTGGCCGGGGAGAGGGAAGTCTGGGTTTCTCTGCTGAGACTGCTGCCCCCGCGACCCGACCTTGATTTGAATTTTACAGCCTAAATTTTCTTGTCCACATTCAATATTGTATTTTTTAAATCCATCTTAATTTAGTGTATTATCATTCTTGGTACTGGCTTAACTTTGCTGTCATTGGGTGCTGGCTTGGTTTTTTGTCTAAGGTGTCCTAATTGTGAATGATATTTGAACTAGTGTTGGAGGTGAAAACCTGAAGTAGTGAACTATAAATTTGTCATTAAAGTTTGGGACTCTATTCCAATCGATAATGATGTGTTTGACTGGTTTAATTTCTTGTTAATCAGTTAGCTTAAACAGGTAAGTTAACTCTGAGGAGTTAAAGCATTCTATTGGGTTTGGGCGGGCTGTGACTGACCGATCAACCCTAGGGATCCCCGGATGATGTCACGAAGCCCACGCCTCCAGGGAAACCCCGACCGGTCTGACCCTCCTGAATACGGTGCCCGCCCAGGTTACGTGTGTCTGCGTCGGTTTTTTCCGGTTTTGGGTAGCTATGCCCTCACAGCTGATTCTAATTGTTCTTATCAGTGGAGTCTATTTTAGTTCATCTTAAGACGCGAGATCTTCCTGATTTTTCCGGATTTCGAGCTTTTTGCTATATTTCAGTTCTGCTGTATCTCAGTTCTGCCATATCTCAGTTCTGGCCGCCGGTCGGTATTCAGACCACGAGACCGTCCAGTCCTTCTTGCCTGATTACGCCCATCGCCTGAATCCCGATTCCTTCTCGCCCTCCTTCTGTCCAACGCTCATCGCCCGATCCTCACAAGTCCTTCGACCATGGCTTCGTTTGTGATTTGGATCCTGTTTTGGCATTCGCTGGTTTGACCTCGGACTGTGGACTATGGCTTGGATTGCTCCTGAATAAACTCCACTATTCTATCCTGTATCTGCGCAAGTGTCCTCCTTTGCTGGTCGTCATACCTGACAGTGGTATTTGCAGACAGGTAAATTGGTCCAAATAGCACAGAGAGAAAATGTATATTATTTAAAGTTTTATACCATTTTTTCATCCTCTTTGCTCAAGAGGCCAGGTGGAGTTTTCAAAGCATGCATGTGTTACTTTTTATAATTTTACATTAAACTTCAGATGAAAATAATCCAGTCTTAAGAAAACAGCATTACACACGATATACCGACTGCTAAGGATATAAAAGGATATAATGATTCAAAATACAAAACATTTCATTTCCTTTTATCATTTTAATGATGGGCTGCTGTGTGTTTCTTTCTGTTCTGTTTCTGTTGTGCTGTGTTCATGTCATCTGCTGGTGTGGCGATTATATTGTAATGTGATGAACTGCTTGATTATATCAAGCATCGTTAATCCCTTAAAATGTCCAATCCTATAATACGGAGCCCCGTTGAGTAAGGTTTTATTGTACTTTAACGAGGAAGTATCTACTGTACTGTATGTGTGTCCTACAGTGGACATGGATGTATGAATGGATGACCATACATACAGAACCAGTGTATATTCAGTTAGAGAGCAAAACGGGTCATGCGATTGATCCCCCCTCCCGTTTCATAAACTACCTCCGCTTGGCGAAACCAGGTTTTGTGTCAATGATGGAATTTGAATCCAAAATAACTGAGTACCCCTGAGTTAGAGCGCATCTCATTGCCAGTTCTTATTTCACTCTCCACGCCGCTGGGTGGCGGTAATGCACCTAGTTATCATCAACGCCCTTTTACCCAGAATAAAGAGGAAGAAGTTGCGTTCTGTGGTATATTGTCTGCGGAAGTTTACGGGCAGAATTACTACAAAACCACTTAATTCTAGGGATACGGGCGATTCAAATGTAAAACAAAAGCTTGTCAATTTTTATGGTACTGGACGTAATTGCTCACTTGCACATTTTGTCTTTTTTGTCGTGACATTGTTCTCCTATACCGTTTTTAAGAAGGGGATCACGTTCTTTATTCTTAAGGTAAATTTTGCATGCTTTTGTTATAAAAATCATTTCCCGACTGCAAATGCTACATGAATATCTAAATGATTAGTTTAAGGTTAGAAATTAAACATCAGTACGGTAATCCACTTGGAAATGTTTATGGTGAAGCGGACAGATTTTCAGCAGCATTATCAGTTTGAGGGCTTTTGCATTTATGCCATGAGTTACAGGAGGTGCAAAGCCGCTGCTCCAGTAGTCCATTATCCAGATGCGTTTTTTATTTGTAAGAACCATACGTGGCTACACTGTAGAAAACTGTCACGTACCACCATTTCTAAATTATTTACGTACGGTGTAATATGCGTTAGGCTATTTACAAATTTCAGCAATCTTTAGCAAACGGAATACTGAACATATAAAATTACAATTTTATATGTAATTCCCTGAGTGTTATATTTTAAGAAAAACAAAACACATTGAAATGCTTTGTTAATAAAATTATAATTATATTTTAATATATCTTAATATTAATTATCTGGATATTGCGCCTTGACCATTTAAAAATACCTTTAAAGTTTTGCTGTTTCTAAAGATCTGTCAAAGTTTAGTAAGATATAGTTTAGCAAATGTCTAACACGCACGGTCGTTGCGTTTACCTAGTAAAAATGCTTCGGATCATAAATGAGACAATAACCACTCTTTTCAATAGTACTTAATTCTAAAAAATTACGATTCGAAAGCCTGTCACAATAATCAGCTCCTTTGTTTGAGACCGTGTTCAATTTATATAACGTGAAAGTTAAAATTGGATATATAATATTCAGCATATATAATACTTTTCTTCAATATTATAATAGTAATTCGCATATTTGCAAGCTACAGCAAAAAGCAATTGGAATGAATACCCCCAAAGTTATACATAAAGTTACATTTGTATGACTTTTAATGCAACTAATGTTCACAGGATAGACCGTCACAAGTTCTCTTTTCAATAAAAAGGACATGGGCGTAAATTTCGGGGGGGTTGTAGCCCCCCCAATAAATCAAAACCAGCTAATACAACCCCCCAGAAATCATGTTTCCCCCGTAATGGGTGGAGACCTCAACTCCCCCAATGTTCCGGCCAAAGTTATGCCCTTGAAAAGGGATATATTTGTGTATTCTGTTGTTTTTTTAATGGATATTGCTAAATTGTTTCTTGTTCTTCTTCTTCTTCACCAGTACTAAACTGCTAATATTCTTCAAGTAACAAACTGCGTTGGTCAAAAAAAAAAAAAGCTAACCTTTTTCTGATTCAGCATAGGCTTCAGTAGCAGGGACTTGAACACTGCTGTGTGGGTTGATGAGTCTCCGGTGAGTGTGGGGCTCTATGTAAAATAAATCATCCTCCA